TTACTTCTAAATCTCAGCATTCTCATTGGGTCAATGGGAATAATAATAGTTGTGCTGTTTACCTCTCAGATTTTGCTATCCAAATGAGTCACTGCAAATAGATTTGTAAATCATATAACATCAATTGAATATCAGTTATTATTAATAAAAAGGGCATGGATTATGTAAATAATCTCAGATACTGCTCTTGGGACCAGCGTCCTCGGAGGTGTGCCCTCTTCATCTTGCTTGGAATCAGGTAACCATGCTACTTCCCAGTAATTTCCAAAGCACTAAGCATTCTGGTCTCCCTTCTCCTCCTACTAGAACTGCCCAGAGACCTTGGGCTCTGATACACAACCTTACATTTTATCTTGACCAACTAGGTACTCACACCATTTCCCAGCCCTTTTCATTCTGTCCTGAGTTGCTACCTCCCCTTGCCTCTTTCCAACTTAGCTCCCTTTTAAGTGTTGACCTTAATAGGGTCAACCTTAATAGTGTAGACCTTAATAAGCTGCCTTAATAGAGGGCAATAGATCCCTTGGGAACAACAGCTTGTCTTGGTATTCCCAGAGTTTAGCAGTGACTGGAACATTTTAAGTGCCTAATAAATGCTTTTTTCTTTCATTCAGTATTATAAATCCTATCATAACACTTGTGGATATCAAGGTTATTTTAATTAGGACATTAAACATATAACCATAAAGGATACAAAGAGATTAGTTATCTTTAGGGGGAATACACATAATGCATCTATAACTTTCCCCTCACAATTCTACTTCCTCCCAGAGGTAGCTAGGTAGGCAGATAGGCAACAAGCATTTATTAATCACTTACTGTATGCCAGGCACTGTGCAAAACATTGGGGATAGGAATACAAGTAGAAAGAAAAACCCAGCCCTTAAGGAACCTAAATCTAATGGGGAAGACAAAACAAAAGAAGTTGGGGGAGAAAGGTACTTGTCCCAGGGCTTGGTGTTGAAGTCTGAAATGTCAGAAGCAGAAGGGAGAGGGGAATGAAGTTTGCAGGGCCTGGAATTCTCCCTAAAATGGCAGCCCCAGAGGGACTCATCATTGGGAGAAAGAGGGCAGCACCTTGGTAATGAAAGAATTTCAAGCAACCATCAAACGTGACCTATCTTTCCCATTTCACTCTCCAGAAATCAAAAGGCAAGACCATGGCCAAATTCAAAATACTTGCAGTCTGATGCTCTCTTGTGACATTTTCCTGGGTTTCTACTATTCTTCTTTAGAAAAGCAAAGAAAAAAAAGGATGACCAGAAAGTCCTTCATTTTTTACTTCGCTTATTTCACTTTACTTCTCCCAAGAGCTATGCATTCTAATATTCTTCTCCACACTTCAGGAGATGTAAGATTGGAGTGGTGAGTGGTGGGGGGAAGAAAAGATTTCAGAAGGTTTAAAAAGCAGAGGTTAGGTGTGAGGTGACTGTTTTATATCTAGAAAGGGTCTCAGATGTACATAGTTTTCTGACCAGCTGAGCTCAGCACTGGAAATTTATGAGAACAATGAGGATTAGCCGGGGACCTAGTGGTTTCTGAATTTTTAAGCTTAGATATTTGTGTTGAATAACTGACACAAAATGACAGAAAATTCTCACTTTTTCATGAACTTCTTTATTGAAGACATAGTTGTTTTTCTATTATCTTCCCAATTAGACTCATTGAGAGAATGGATTGTCTTTTGCCTTTTGTTGTATCCTGAGTACTTAGCACAGTGCCCATAGCTACACATAATGAATGCTTGTTGACTGACTGGAAAGAGCACTGACTCTGAATTGAGGAGCTCCATTCATATTCTACCTCTGAGATTATAGATATAATCTATATCTATATCTATTATACATATCCATGTTATATACAGATGTCTATAATATATCTATCATATGGAATATATAATCCCACCTTTGAGATCATAGTTTATCTATAATTATGTGTATATAGTTTACAAATGCATGTTTACATACACATACATATATTGGCAGTATTTGTGTATATGTGTGTGCGTATCTGAATCTCTCTTTCTCTCTCCTGCTTTTGTGATACTGGGCAAGAATAGACCTCCTTGAGTCTTAATTTCCTTCTTTGTAAAAGGAGGGGGAGTGAGCTAGATAATTTCTGAAGTCTCTTCTGAGATTTGGACCTATGATATATGATCTTATAATTTGGTTTGTGAATTGGGAAGGACTTGGGATTTTTCTGAGCTAATTAGCAGATTTTTTGGAGTACCTTGGTACTTACTTAATACTGTATTTAGCTCTGGAGATAAGGAATCTTTTTTAAATTACTTTCAATTTAATTAAAAATTATACAAATTTTCAGAGCCAAAAAGTATTGTAGATATATTCTTATCCAACCTCCAATTTTATAGATGAGAAAACCAAGGCCTAGAAAGTGGAAAATATGCTACCCAAGGTCATACCAGTTAGTTAATGACAGAGGTCTTTTGACTTCTAGCTCAGTGCTCTTTTCATTACACTTCACTCCTGCTAATCCCTGGAATGATTTTAAAACCACTCGTGGAGAGGGAGGCTAACCCCTGAGCTTAACCTAATGGCTCAGTCACACTGTGAGACCCAGCTCCACTAGACTCGTTGAACTTCCTTGGATCTACTGTTTGTCCTCTTCATTGGCATTTTCACCACATATGGAGGGTCAAAGAAATGAGATGGAAAAATGTAAAAGTCTCTTTTGGAACCACTCATTAAAATGAGGTCTCCTTAAAGCTTTGACTCTGGGCTGAAGTGAGATGCTAGGCTTATCTGCAAATTTTAGGCGTCCAAAAGAAGGGTAGTCTTTCTGACCTGCAAGTTGGAACAACGGTAAATATAAATACTGTACCATTTATTAAAACTTTATTAAAACATAGGCTCTGACAACCTATGGTCTATAATCCTGAGTAGGAATCAAACTGGAAAGGGTCTTGGGTTCATTGTCCCTTTGAGTTGAACACACAAAAAAAGTGAGACCTTTTAGTGGATTTGGTGGCAGGAAGATCTGGTTGTACCTTTTTGTTTTTCTCATTTCTATCTCTTGAAGCCCAGATTTTGATGAACTGCCACAAAGGACTTTTCTGGTTAAAAAAAATAAAAGGCCAAGAGGTCTCTTATCTGTTAAGATAAGGGAAAAGAGGAGAGGCTACCGGGAAGCTAGAAGGTGCAGGAAGGGGCGATAAAGAAAGATAGCTGTCTAAAAGGTGAATACTTATGGCAGCACCTGCTGGAACAGTATTTCTCTTTTGTCAATTGGGCCACTGGAGCACGCCTTCGCAGTGTTTCTGAGTTCACAGGAACATTGCAAATGGCTGGGGGCAAAGTTCGCGAGCCTTTCAAGCCAAGAGAGTCCATTCTCCCCCAGGGAAAGAAAATAAAGTGGGTATAGGGACTTTGTCTGCCCTCGGGAGTGCCAGGCTTCTTGCGGGGGCAAAAGTGAGGGGCGGGGGATAGATGTGGAGGAATCCAGGTGTGCCTCCTACCAAGGCGAATCTGTCCTTGCAACAAAGTCCGGGAGAGGGAAGGGCCGGAATGGGTGGGAACAGCTAGGGATACTAGTTACGCCTGACCTAGTGCCCACTTAAGGCTCCTCCAGCCGGTGGGACGGGCTTTTGTGGCAGCTGATCCCTTCGGGATTAACCCCTTTGCAGCCTGTAGGTAGCGGTGGCGCGGGAGAGGAGGAGCGCGGCGGTGGAGGAAAAGGGTGGCGCGGCTGCTTTTTGCAGCAAAGAGCAGCTCCAGTCCCCAGGGGGCCGCCGAAGGGAAGATACACGTAGGTGGGTAGCTAGGTGGGACGCCGCTTCGGATTACCCCAGGGAAAGACTGGGAGAAATCCTGGGGTCTTGGTACCCTCATTTATTCTGTTCCAACCTCTACACAGTCTCGAGGTTTACCTGTTCATCCACCTCGCTAGTTTTCTCTCTTTAAAATCTGAAAACCTAGCTTTTTCTCTTAAAAGGTATAAAGAATGGCTTAAATCTCGCTCTTCCTTCTCCCATTTTCAATTCCTCCTCGGTGTCGTCGCAGAGAGAAAACATGCCCCGACCTTCAGTTATGATAAGGAACTAGGGGTAGGGAGTCCCGCGTGGAGCTGGGGGAGGGGGCTGTCTCCTCGGGGAGAGCGGAGCATTGTTTGTGCGGGGTGGGGAGGATGGGTGACGATCTCCAGGCTAGCAGCTCCCGCTGCAGGGGCGGCGGCGGCCACAGCCTGCCCAGACACCTCATAGCTTCCTTTTGGCGCTGTCCCCGAAGCTGTGTCCCCGGGACCCGGGGCGTGTCCTGGGGTCTCCCCGGGAGCTTGGGGCGGGGCGGGGCGGGGCGGCGCCTGGGAAGCAGGCTGGCTGGAAGCGGGGCCGAACGCTGGAGGGGGCTGTAGCTCTCCCTCTCCCTCTCTCTTCTCGACCGTAGCTTTCCCTTCCCCCCACCTTCTCCTTCTTTCCCTCCCCCCCACCCCGAGGGGGCTGGCTTAGGGGCGGGGAGGTGCGGAGACCGCGGCGGTGGGGCTGCTGAGTTCAGTTCCCGCTCGCCGGCCGGGTCTGCCGGAGGCAAGCCAGTCGCCAGCGTCTTTGCAGCCGTCGTCCCGCCTTTTAATTTTATTTGGAGGAGTGGGGAGGGAAAAAGGGGCGGGGAAGGAAAGAGGCACAGCCACCGCCTCTCGGGCTTCTCCCGTGCAAATGGTGTTTGCCTGGGCGTCGAGCCGGACATGGCGACCCTGAGCCCGCTACCTTCTCTCTCCTTCTCCCCTTGTCTTTCGTCCTCCTGCTCCTCCCCTTCTTCCCCATCCCCGGGAACCCTTTAATGGCTCGGACCTGCGCCGGCCCCTGCCAGCCCTACTTGCGCGCCGGAGACAGGAGCCACCAGCGCCCGGGAGTATTAATAGAAAGCAGCCGCTGCAGCCCCAGTCCGGGAGCCGCGCGAGCAGCAGCAGCAGCAGCCCAGCCGCCGCCTCCCTCAGCAGTCCGGGGCCCTCGGCGCGGGGGAGGAGGGGGAGGAGGAGGAGCAGGGGGAGCAGCGGGAGCCCGAGCCTCGGACGCTGGGGGAGCAGCGGCAGCTCTAGCCCCAGCTCCAGCCCCAGTCCCGAGACGTGGAGGTAAGTAAGAGCTGCTATGGGAACAATGAAGGCTGTGGAGGGGGTGAGGGGGGCGGGGAGGCCAGGTCGGAGGAAGGGGAGGGCATCGGACTTGTCCCGGAGGGGGAGGTGTGGGTGTGGGGAGAGCGAGGGCAACTGCAGTTGCAGCAACTTGTGGAAGTCGCTTGGCTCCTGGAGAAAGCCGGGTGGTGGTGGACGTGAAGGGCCGAGGGGAAGGAGATCGGACCTTGGGCGGCCCCTGGAAGCAGGGTGGTGGTATGGGGCAGGTGAGGATGGCTTCGCCTGGGTGGGAGATGGGGTGGTGGGTGGGGCTTTTTGAAGCCGGAGGTTCCTGGGCCGGGCTGTAACGGTGGTCACGGCTGTAACATAACAATAGTGAGGACTTCGGGTGCCCTGTTGGACTCCCGAGGCAGCGCAAGGATGGGAGGACACTTTCCATTGCTCTCCTTTCACCCCCCACTCCCCGCTAGAGGAATCCCAGGGACTCTGGGTCTCCAGCCCTTTCCTTCTTAACCGAACTACCCCGCCCCCCATCTCCCCTCTTTGGTGACAGCATTGGGAAGCTTCTTCTGGACACTTGGCGTGTAAATCTTAGTCCCTAGAGCTGGGTAACAGGCGGATAGCTGTTAAATCTGATTGTGTATCGCGTGAAGTGTCCCGAGCTTGTTCAGATCTGGTCACGAAGTTACACTGCAGTCCCTAGACCTGGGTGACAAAGACGAATCTGGTCAGAGCACAAGTTAAATTTCATCGAACATCTTCCCCTTTCCTTCACCCCCCCCACCTCGTCCCCATTTCCACGTGTGGCAAACTTCTATCTTTGAAAAAAAAAAAGCAAACAAAGCAAACCTGTGGTGCACATTTTTTAAAAAAAAATCTTTTGAATATGATTTGAAAACGTTAAGTTCTGGAAACTAAATGTGTGATCCAGCTTGGTGCTGAGTGTGCGTCTGTTTATTTTTAAATCAAAGGATAAATTCCTCTTAATGAGTCTGAAGTGCATTTATAGCTGTAAAGCCAAATGGACAACTCATCGCTTCCTGTTGGTTTGGGGAATCTGTTCTGTGTCCCCCGGATTGAGCCTTACAAAAGAATGAGTTCCTTGTAGCCCCTTGGGCTTGGACTTGGAGGGAAAAAAAAATCTTGATTTTCGTCTGGAACAGTTTAGCAGTACACATAAAAGCAGCATGGCTAGTGTGCTTTTTTTTAATTCTGTTCTATGGTAAAAATCACATTCAATTTCCAGTTATTTATTTAGCAGACTGGTCGGGAGAGAACGGGGACCTTTCCTCTGTGACTCTTGTAATGCAGTGTATGTTTTACAGTGCCTTTCTCTTGCTTCTAGCCTTTCCATAGCACGTGTACTCCATTCCTTATGAACCCAGCTAGGATTTCCATAGATTCCCTGAACAAACCATAACTCCCTTCCTTCAATAAACAGCATAATCTTAGATCCGGGACTGCTGTGAAGAATTGAATGTGGTCTAGTTGAGCTACCTCACCATTATAGTGTCTGTCGGTTGGTCATTTTCTTTATTTGGCTTTTCCCATCCTAACAGTGAGAAGGGTTTTAAAGATTGGTTTTAAAATTGATTTCATTGTTAGGATGAGGCAAAGAAAGCTCTTTGGAGTTCTGTACGTCTGGCTACCTTTTTTTTTTTTCCTTGTCCCTGTTCTTGCTGGGGAATGACCCAATTTGGTGCATCATAGCCTTTTTTTCCTCTTTTTTTTTTTTTTGACAGAGCTACCTCCAAGTATTTTGTCTACAGGGAAATAATAAAAACAAAACTGTGCCCTTTAGAAATCATACAGGGTGATGGAAATCCAAGCCAATAGGATTATTCTGTATTCTTGCAACATATATTGTGGCAAGAATTTGGTGTTGGAATTAGTTCAGCCATAATGAAATTGGCAGCTCAGTGGAGCCATGAAGAAATGGAAATCTAGTCCTGACTGACACGTACTAGCTCTGTTAGCAAGGGCAGTTTTCTAAGGGTGTTATGTAGTAGAATAATTGCCAACCTGCACTGATAGAGCACTTGAACTTCCTTACACAAGGGAACGAAGTCACAGGTACAAATCCCCAAAACTAAAAGAAAGAAATATAATTAAAAATAATATCTGACAGTATAGTTATTTAAAGTTTACAGAGCTCTACATACCCATTTCATCTTCACAGCAACCCTGTGGTAGATACTACAGGTGTTCTTAACCTCATTTTACATTTGAGGAAACTGAGTCACAGGGAGATTGATTTGCTCATGATCATACAGCTAGCATCAGAACTATATTTCACACCACCAAAAGAAACCTTAATTATCTTCTGTTTATAATAGTGACATTCCTAGGAGTTATTTAGTTTTGAATAACTAAACTAACCTAAGCCTCCCCACTACGTGAGGCAAGAAGTTCTGGTGGTGGAGGTAACACTGCATCTCTGGGGTAGAGATAACCGGATTCTAACCTCTTCAGGTATAACTCAGAAAGCCTGTAACCTCTTTGCTTAGTATGAAATGGAAAGAATCCAAGATTACTTGATTATGATGTAAATTTTTCAGATGTGACTCCTAGTCTCTGCAAGATTTTAGAGAGTATATTTCACTTCTAAGTGGAAATACTGGCATCCAACATAATTTAAGGATATATTGTGGAATTTGGTTTTTATATCCTCTTTCCTTATGTATCCTCTTTCTCAAAGGACCCTGGGGATTGAATGCCATTGGATCATATTAGAATACTAATGCTACTCTGCCAGTATTCCATCAGCTGTGTTTTAACTATCCTTATTCATTTTTCTTGATTGGTTATAGAAATTGCATTATGATAATACTGAGACTGTAAACTGCACAAGTATTGTTCACAGAAAAAAATAGTTTCCAAGAGATTTAATTACTTACTGAACATTAACACAGTGTAGAAATTTACACTCTTCAGCAATCATGGTGCTTATAGATATTTGACCATATAATTCAGTGGGAAATGAGCAATTTGAGAATATGATGTTGAATAATAATAAATAATAATAAAATTTTATTCCTGAAGTAAACTAGTTCAAAGAAAGAAAGTAAATTTAATCAGAGAGTGACGGAAATTACTTTAAGTAAAGATTCTCACCTAGCTGTTTGGTAATGTGATGATTAGGCTCTTTAAACAATCCATTTGCAAACACCCCTGTTTATGCAATGTATTTTGAGTAATGTTTCTTTTACGTATTTGAAGATTTTGCTCCTGATAGTGATGATGTTTGTTATCCTTGTGGACTAAGGCTATTGCTGTGAATGATTCAAATTATTTTGCCCCTGGGCACACAGTTAATCTGTCTTTTGGTTGGCTGTGGACTATGAAGACTGTCCATGTTTGTGGATTCTTTGTCTTCCGTTCATGTTAGTTATATGCTGGTTTTGTTCAGATTGGGGCCATCCCATCTCTGATTACTGAATTCCAAGTTGATCTCTTTATTTCTTTTGCTTACAGTAGTCCCTGATTGTACTACTCTGCAAAAATCTCCTTTTCTGAAGAAAGTAGCATTTCTTCTGTCCCTGCTGCCAACAGTGCTTAGATTACCATACAGGAGCTACTTGAATGTTATCTTTCATTTTCCAAATATCAAATTTGAAGTAAAATTAACTAGCAAACAACCTGCCTATTAAAGACCTTGAGAAAGCAAATTTTTTAAAAAAATTAACTTTTTTATTATGAAATTATTCAAAACATAAATATGTTGGAATACAAAGAATAAGAAAGATCTCTTCCAGCTCCTTCAATTGAATAGAAAGGGAAAATAACTCCCCTCCCATCACAAACATGCAAAACAAATTCCCACATTGACCAAGTTCAAAAATGTATGTATTATTCTGAATTTTAATCGTCACTTCTTTGGGAAGAGGTGAGTAGCACACTTCATCCTTGGTGTTCTGGAATCATGGTTTATCATTGCAATTATCAGACCAATAAAGATTTTTTTTTACCTTTGGTGAGGCCATTGGATTAAGTGACTTGTCCAGGGTCACACAACTAGCAAGTGTCACGTGTCTGAGGCCAGAGTTGAACTCAGGTCCTCCTGACTCCAAGGCGGGAGCTCTATCCACTATGCCACCTAGCTGTCCCTTTTTCTTTCTTTCTTTTTTTTTTTTTTAAAGAGTTGTTTTTCTTCATAAGTTTGGACAAATAAATTTTGTTTTGTTTTGGTTTGGGGTTATTTTTTTTTGGACAAATAAATTTTGGAGCCATTTCTTGCTAAATACAGATTTTTTATTTTACTCAGTGTCTTAAAAATGTTTAGTTCATTTTAAAGTGGAGAAAGTTCTTTATCTAGGTTTGTTTTTTAGTGGGGTTGGTTTTTTTTTTTTTTGGTCACTCTGTCTCTCTATGTGTGCCATTTAGGATCATAGCATCCTAGCAATACTAAAACTAAAAGCTTTAGCTGGAAAAAAAAAATTGAAAAAATATATTGTATCTGGAGAACTTGATACTTATATGAGTCTGATATGACCAATAAGTACAATGCGACTCTTAGTATCTCTGTTCATTATTACCAGTGATCTTCAACTTTGACCTGTAACTTCCTTTCTATTAAAGTACTGAATGAAGATTGCCAGGTATGGCAGAAGATTTGCAGATTGAATTCATGTGGGAAGTAGATGAGTTCACTCAATTTCATGTGTAAAATTGTTATATGTAACCATAAGTTTTCAAGAGAGACCTGGGTTACATTTAGCTTCTGAATGAGGGAAAAGTCAGCTTGGACATTACATTATTATATTAGAGCCATTCCCCATTACCAGCCATCTCTTCTGAGTTTACTTTATACAAGATTTTATTCTAACCTGCTGGTTTGTTTTAAATTACATTACAATGATGGGAAAATCCAATTTTAAGATGTTCTTTGTTGCTTTTTTGGCTTAATTAGGTATTGATCATGATTTTAGGATATTTAAAAACTAGTCTTTAAATTTTTAAAAGGAAGTTTAATGTTAATACTGACAACTCCCTAGTATTCT